GCACGATGGTCCAGTTTTCAGCAAAGTCAAAATGAAAGACAATGCTCCCGCGTTGCATGCACTGTTTTTCATCGTAGATCGCTTTACCTTGCGTTTGCCGGATATGGTTGTGAAGTATACCCAACTTCCAACCGTCACTTGGATGACTTTTAGGAAAGTCTCAGGTTTCAAAGTTTTTTTCACAAGGTCGCCGGACTCCCATGTTGCAAGCACAATCTCTTCATCCTCCGGGATATCAAGTTCCTGGAGTGTAAGAAACTGGCCTTTTGGGCAGTGATCACAGTCTCCTTGAAGGCACAGTTCTGTTGCTGGGTCGCACAGAAATGCCGAGTTCATTTCACCAGTGTTGAATGTTGAGCCTGTAACGTTCTCTAGAGCGGCAATACAAAGATAATAATTGGCGCAGCGCACACAAACGCACACTTCCTGGTGTGGAATACATTGGACCCATCTAGGGCGCAACGAATAAAATTTTGTTAGCCCAACGCCGGAATCGGGATGCTTGTCTTTGTATATACGGAAGGCCTCTCGTATTGAGCGTGTCATGAAGCGCTTTGGCACGAACGTTTTCTCTCCGTTGAGCATGACAGAGATGACGTCCTTCTGGTTGGGACTTTGGCGCGAACATTGTAGCTCGTCTTTCGTGAAGTAGTCTAGGGCAGCAGACAGGTTCTCAGGGCTCACCTTGCACCTCGTGTAAGGATCCGGCTCATACCACACGCCATGCTTTTCCTTGAGTTTTCGGGATTTACTGATGAGGTACATTGAGGCCTGTGGAATCATCTTTTGAACCTCATTCTTCGTCAGTGTTGACGGCAGGAGTGTAAGCAGTTGACAACGTTCCCGGAGAGAGGTGGCGGTTTCAAAGGCCTGCCGAAAGTTGTCCACCCACTCAGTGCATGTGGAGCATGTTGGTTCGGACGACCCCGATGGTGCGTCCCTGTCGTACGCAATACGTAGCCTTGAGCGTATATTCTTGACAGCAACCTGCTCCAGTTCTGTCTGCTTTCTCTTCACATAGGCAGGCCTGTCCCGACTTCTTACGACGCTTGGTTGTCTCAGCGGCGACACATCTGTAGGTAGTATGCTGCGATTTAGATCTTCAATTGCTTCTTCAGCTGGCACAAATATGTCAGGGCGCTGCTCTGAGCTTCGCATCGAGATCTCCTTAGTGATGTGCATGAAGCAATGGTAGCACAGGTAGTCCGTCGCACTCACTTTGGTGGAACAGTCAGGCGGAAGAATTTGCTTCAACGAGTTTAGGTCCAACTCGCCAACACTTCGAAAATTCCGCTGCTTTGGTATAGTCTTTTTGTGTTTGCAAAAGTAATCTGCACAAAACACTCGTTCGGAGCTCCAGGACGTCTTCATAATGTATACATAAATAATAGAAATTAAACCCCAACTGATGGCATATAATTGCCAAGTGAAAGAACTACTGGGTGCACAAGTGACAAGTCCGAGGCTGAGGAGCTCACTCACTGCAAACGTACATTTGAAAAGAGAGGTCACAACTGAGGCCGTCGGCAAAGCTTGATCCACGTCAAAGGAAGAAAGAGGGAAAGTCTCCAGACAAAAAATTGTGGTCAGCGGCCTTCGAAAAAGACTTTCCGGAACCGCACTGTCGTCCCTCCACGCGCTGATATGAAAGCACCCGAGCTTCCACCACGTGGTTCATGACACAGCCTGAGCCATGTCGGCGACCGGTTCGCGAGGGGTTGGCGGTGGGGTTGCGTTGATGGTCACTCGGATTAGCCCTTGCTGTACTGAGCTACCGCCTGCAGTGCCTTATCGCCGGCTGGTGTCAACAACGAGAACACACACACCCTGTCTACACCAAAACTACAAGCGTTCACCGCACACGCGTCGCCGCCGCTTTTAAGCTTTTGTGAAATTGCTTTCTTTTGCCACGGAGAACCGCCTTATCTTAACTACGCGCCTGAAATCCTTCCAGGCGGGCGTACACAATATCAAGCGTTTCGAGAGATGCCCGTGGAGTAGAACTATGGGAAAATTCGGAGCCCGCGATGTCGATATCGTCGCCGTTGTGTTAGTACGCCGTCGCGTACTGCAGTCCCCCGTTGGGGGAGGGGGGGGGGTGGTCTTACTACGATAACATGGCGACAGCGTTTACACTCTATGTATTTACGCGAGGCTCGAGTATTTGGGGATAATGCTGCCGGTTGGTGTGCCCCTTTGTGCCTGATATTATCGCCCGTGACGCCAGCGAGTGAGATGGCGACAGGCATGACTGCTCGGTAAACAGGCGTCGGCGGCCATGTTTTGCTGGTTGAAGCGAACCCCCTTGTCCTTGACAGCGAGCGGGGAAATGCGAAAAAAAGATTGTATCGGCCGTTTTGCCAGAACTAGCGACGAGTGTCGTCTGCGGTTTCCGGCAACTATTTTGCCATAATCGTGAGCTTAGCGAGGAAATGATTTTTGCTAGCCACAGAACACTACCACGCAGAAAGGGAATGCTTGAACATGTTTTTGTTCTGGATATATATCAGGGATATATATGAGAGAGAGAGAGAGAGATGAAGGTAGAGCGGAAGAGGGAATAGCATATAGTGTCGCAGGAGAATAAAGTAAACAAAGTTCCTAGTGGCCGATGGCTGCATGATCTTTTCTCAGATCAGTAGTCCGTAATATGATACCTCTTTGTACACAGTAGTTTCTCCTTAATTTAAGTGTGTGAACGATTTCTTTAGTTATCATTTGCCTCATCTGAATAAAAATATATAAAAGATGTGTGTTGGTTTCATGAAACTGGAACTCAGAGTCAGTTCTTGTATAAAACACTGCGAAGTGTAGGCTTTGAAAAAGGACCTTACTTTGGGGAGTTGTATCTTCTTTCTCAATAAAATGATGCAACATGTTTTTAATGGAAATGAATGCCGAAATAGAGTATAACAGGTTACCTAAATTTAAAAAAGTCGAGGGTGGTGGTTTTTTTTTTATTCGCATAGGAATTTTTCTTTGTTTGATTTTTTTTCCATGTTTGACTAAATATATCCTAACTATTGTATCACACAGATACCTTAGTTATTTTTTAAATATTAGCTATATATTAGTAGAATAATATCTGCAAATTATATCATAATGATTAAATTATTTCATGAGATACAGACCTCCAAAGTTTGCCATTTGTCGTTCGAGCAGGCATGTTTGTCAATTTTTAGAAAAATAAATAAATTTTAAATAAATATGATTACTTTATATTACAAGCAAGCTATACCCATAGTTTGCGCCTAAAACGTATTAGAGTTCTCCTAATGTTATCGCTTTAGTTATTCACTCTCAAACGGGCCCCCTCCATCAGTGCGCGTTAATGCAACTGTCCACCACCTCATGCCTTACGATTTTTCCTGTCCCCAAGTATTTTTTCTAGTCAAAACTAAGTTTGGATTCGTTCATACCAGACACTAGACAATAACATATAAAAACATCAGTTGATTTGAAAATGTCGACTAGCCATCCTTTGGTCGATCTTATCTGAAATCACCCATATATATATATATATATATATATATATATATATATATATATTTTAAAAGTATTTTGATACTTTGGGTGCTCCTCATTTTGCTTTTTGTAAGCAAAAAAAAAAGAAATGAATAAAAAAAGAAACGAAGCATAGAATTTGGGAAATAAGATTGACCGCCGATTTGCGTCATTTTTTCGGTAAAGAGCCACTCCACCTTCTGTGTGACAGTGATGGACGCTTACCGAAACCTCGAGGCTTCTAATTTTGGGAATTTCGGTGCAAAAACAGATAATGGCAAATTGTCACTATTATATATTGAGCACATTAGTTTTACGTTAAAGACAAAAGTTAAACGTTCGGAAAAAAAGAAAAAAAAAATCCGTCATTTGCATTCCTGCGGAGGCCTGCGATGAGTGACGCAGCACTATTTTCACCGCTTCAAGAAACTCAACTCCCCGATGCATATTCTGGCTATTAATTTGTTCCAGTCAACGTCCGAAAACATTTTCGCCCATCTTTCTTCGCGATTTGTTCTTTGAGGTTTTGTTGGCTAATCCAGCAATCGCATTAACTGAGGGGCGATCGTGGGGTGCTCGTGACGACAACTTCTGCCTTTTTCCAAGTTTAGTTTAAAATACCACCGCACAGAAACGAGTTGTTTGCGGCGACGATTACTAAGCCGTCGCGGTGCATGCTTTCGGGACTTCACTCGACAACTTCGTTAAAAAGCGGGGAACCAAAGATTTTCTGTCGTCTTTGGTCCGGCCCCGTACGCCGACTGCTGGGCTAACTTCGCGGGTTCAAGGTCCGACTCATCAAGAGGCCCTCACAAATTCGTTTGTACAGTGCCGCCGGGTTTGCCAAACTTGCTGTCAAGGGCTGGAAGGACTGGACTTCTCTTTGCCGCACTTCTCCGTTGACACCCGGTTTGGCGGCACCGGGGGGCTGCGGCGAATTACCCCCCTCCAAAGCACAAACCGAAGACCGACAGAGCACCCGCTGCTTATCCACCCCCCCCCCCCCCCCCCCCTCAAATGCGCGCACACGCACGCACACACGCATGCTTTTCCGAACATCAACACACAACCCAACATCGGCGGATGTCAGGGAGAATAAAAAAAAAAAAAGGGGGGGGGGGGCTTTGGTTGCCACAGCTAAGCCGATAAAGTAGTATCAGCTAAACTGATAAAGCACCGCCGGTACGGTATGACCGTATGACGTGCTTTCTCCCTCTCCCCCTCCTCTTTCGTTAGCTCTCTCCCTCATTTCGACGTAACCTGCCTGCCGTTATCTGGGGAACAAAAGCCGCTCAACGATATCCCTGTTATCCGCCCCACCTCTCTCTCCCCCCTCCTCTCCCCCTCCCCCAGATCCAAAGTTCCATAGAGCCTATCTCTCCCCTCACACCTTTATAAAGAGAGGAAGGATCGCCCTGTCGAGGGCAAAATAGAGGGAGAGAAAGGGAGCGAAATGAAAAAAAAGTAGCAACAAAAAATGTAAGCGTGCACGTTCCAATGCAGGTACGAGATCCCCCGTCAGTCTCACGGCGGCGGCGGCGGATCCAACTCGCACATGGCCGCGGCTCAGCCCCCAGAAGTAGGACAGAACCCGCGGCAGTCCGTAGTCCCCAGCGGTGGCCCGCTGTCCAAGGAGGCCGAGATCCTGGCGCTGCTGAATCGGACCGGGTTCCCAATGGTCCAAGACAACGGGCAACGGCGCTATGGTCCCCCTCCAGACTGGCGCGGCGACCCTCCCCAGCGGGGCTGCGAAGTCTTCATCGGCAAGCTGCCCAGGGACTTCTTCGAAGACGAACTGGTCCCGCTCCTGGAGACCGTGGGACCCATCTACGAGCTCCGGCTCATGATGGACTTTGCGGGCTCGAACCGCGGCTACGCGTTCGCCACGTACACCAACCGGGAGGACGCCAGGAGGGCCGTACGCGAACTGGACGAGAAAGAGATCCGGCGGGGCAAGCGGATCGGAGTCTGCAAGTCCACCGACAACTGCCGCCTGTTCGTCGGCGGCATCCCGAGGACCAAGACGCGGGAGGACGTCTTCAGCGAGATGTCGCGGGTCACGGAGGGCGTGGTGAACGTCATCTTGTACACGAGCGTCATGGACAAGACAAGGAACAGGGGATTTGCTTTCGTGGAGTACACGGATCACAAGACGGCCGCCGTGGCCAGGCGCAAGATGATTCCGGGCAAAATGAAGCTCTGGAACGGCCATGACGTGGCTGTGGACTGGGCCGAGCCAGAGCCGCAGGTCGACGAGGACACCATGAGCAAGGTGAGTGCTGGGGAGTTCTGACCCTGAGTAACAGCAGCTATGGTTCGGATAGCCATAGTCGCTGATTATGTGATCGAGATACCGCGATATGTTGTCCCAGGAATCGAGGAATGTCTGCTGACGTCCATAAAGTACTGTCTGTTCCTTCAAGGCCGCATTTTCTCTCTACCGTGTTCAAGGCACAAGCACTCTCTACCGTGTTCATCCTGTCAGCGTTTTTTTTTTTTTTTTTAGATATTTTGTAGCAAGCATTGTTATTTCATTGCTTAAAAACCCAATCCTATGTTCGTCTTTTAATTTTCTTAAATTTCCGTGATGTGGTTTAGCAGCCATTATACAGTCGCCGCTCATCGTAACGCTGCGTTTCTTAGCGTGTCCAATAATAAAAAAAAATGACTGGAAGCAACCAGGTGAGGGAGACCGCATTGCTTTCGAATTGCACTCGTCTTTGAAGGCCTATCAAATACAGTGCCGTGAGATAAGCAACGTGATTGTCTTTCTGGTGACCAACTACGCGGTTATTGGCCATTTGTTTTTTATGGGATCGAGATACCGCGATATATTGTCTTAAAAGTGATTCTCATGTGTATAAGCTCCATTCGTAACCTTCGATTTTTTTTTTAATATATTTTTTTGTGAATCAAGATATAACATATTTCGTTTCGTTTATGCACAATTATAATCACACCGAACTGGAGCGCGAAATTAAATTTTAAATCATAATATTCATCATATACAAGAATTAGAAAAGCACAAAGCTTTCGTGCATATTTATATACGAATTGAATAAATACCGTTAATATAATGGGACATAAACGACTAGGACAAAAGCGAATTGCGTTCGGGACTATATGTGTGACTGCCATTGAGGTTCGCTCAGGTCACGCGCATTACAATTTGCAAACGACGCTTATGACGCCAGAAAAAAAAAACAAGAAAAACAAGCCAATTTCAGTATAGATCATCTCCATTACTGTCTCCTTTTACCGTCTAACGGCGCAGAACCTTATGTAACGAGTCATACGCTACTTGTTTATTTATTGATACTACATCTCCGATTGGAGATTCTGTAGGGGTGGGCAACAAACAATCATCACTGAAAGAAAAATCAACAGGGTCATCACTATGCATATTACAACATTCAAAATGTTAACACGTACAGGTCTACATAGAAAAGGAAATTTAACATCACAATACATATCAGGTTTGCACAGATGAGTCCACCGAGTACAAAGCAGAAAAATTCAACAAAAATGACGATAAAGCATTGGTAGAAATAGGGCATATCATTAGCCAGAGAATTCCAATCATGTATTGTCCATGGAAAAAAAAAAAAAAAAAATTAAACGTGTCTACTCTACGCGTAGGTTCTCGTCTAGATTAAAGCCGCTCATGGGATAAATTTAACACAATTTTAGCCTGTTGCGACGAAGTTCCAAGGGTTGAAGGCCAGCGGTCGCATAGAGTTCTTTTACGGAGTCAGTACGAGAGGAATTATTGTAAGTAAAGCGTAAACTTTTTCTTTGCACTTTTTCAATTGAATTAATGTTGGATGCTGTAAATGGGTCCCATACTATATCAGCGTACTCAAGAACTGATCTAGCAAATGTTTTATACGCTGCTAATTTAACGGTGGATGATGCAGATTTCAGGTTCCTCCTTAAGTACCAAAGTTTATTTAATGCGAGGCGTGTGAGATGCGTGATGTGGGAGTTCAATCGTAGATCGTTTGTGATAATGACTCCAAGGTATTCATATGACGTAACTAGTGAAAGTAGGTGATCGCGCAGATTGTAGTCAAAAAGGGAAGTCGTTTTTTTCCGCGTTATATGCATATATACACATTTATTGAAGCTTAAGGACATCTGCCACTCCTCGCACCACTTATTCACTTTATTTGAGCCAGCACTGAGTTCTTCTTGATCCGCTATCGTTCGTACTTCGGTGTACATGATTATATCGTCAGCAAAAAGGCGTATAGTCACAGGTATGTTATGCGCAATGTCATTGATAAAAATGGAAAAAAAAAGAAAAGTAAAGGACCACGCACCGATCCTTGGGGAACTCCCGAATATACATCGGACTGGGATGACTTGCAGCTTAGGTATTCTCGAAGCCATAACATCAACTTTTCATTTATAAAATTGAAGATTTTATAAATGAAAGCCAGAAGCTTACGGTGAGGAACTTTGTCGAATGCTTTTGCGAAGTCTTAAGTATATAACGTCCACGTGATGTCTATTATTAAGTGATCGCGAAAAGTCATGAATTGTCTCAACAAGTTGCGTTGTTGTTGATAATCCCCCCGGGAAACCGTGCTGATTTGTAAAAGTCTCGAGGAACTCTGAAATGTGTGGAAAGATAATATGCTCTAAGATTTTGGAGCAGGATGGGCAGAAGTTCGAGACAGATCTGTCCGATCCCGACTTATGGATAGGAACAACCCTGCCACATTTCCAACTCGAGGGAACACTTGAATTCGAAAAAAAGATTTGTTAAACAGCAAAAGTAAATAATGGGAGCACCATTCAGCATGTCTAATCAAAAAAGCGTTTGGAATATTGTCTGCACCAGGGGATGGATTTCTTCACACTCGAACTAACTAAAGCTTCGAAAATTTCCTAAACTTCGTTCTGGGGGGAAGCGGGGTGGGTCTTGTCGGAGACTATACTTCGTCTCAGCCTACGATGGACTAAAGGCCAAAGCCACGGGCCGCCAGGTCCAATCACGTTCGACGCTAAACTATGATATGCTTAACATTGATTAAGGATGGACGAATAATGCTCCTGATCAGAATGCGCTGCATCATTTTGATGGCTTCGACACTGCAAAGAGCCTGTATATGTCGTGGCTTTCTTTGTAATATAAAACTGTTGAGTCACTCAGTAACGTTTATCGAAGGGAAATACCAGACAAATTCTAAGTGGCTCGTGATTGGATCTGGTGGTTCGTAGCTCCTGCCTTTAGTCCATCGTAGGGTGAGACGAAGTAGAAGTAGCTTCCCTTGGCCGTCGACGACTAATTCAGTTGAACTTGGTAGTTACGTTTCTATAAGCGGTTTTAATACTTTTGTAGCGAATGAAAATGCATACACACTCTACCCGTAAACCGCTCTGCCAATCTCTGCGATTTACGAAATCAGCTTGGCGAATGATGAGGCGGAGCATCCGTTTAGAAGTCTGCGCTGCGGCATTACGTAATACAAAGCGTCATGGTTGCATTGCGTAATGCCACAGCGCAGACCTAGTTTTTAGGTATAAACAGATGTTCCGCCTCATCATTCGCTGAGCTGATTTCGTAGATCACAAAGATTGGATCTTCCGAGTGTTTTAAGAGTAAGTAAAAGCGCAGGCATTTCTTGGAGTGTATATAAGAAAAAAATACTGCAAAAAGGTAACTTCGCCTGTACGGGGTTGGGAAGGAGGTGCTCGGGTGTTAGATTATCCAATCTCGGGAGTTGGCTGGCTTGTGGGATAACGTCCCGATTACTGGGACAAAAGTCCCTCGGAATCCCACGACCTGACTCCATTCCCGGGAGCGTTAGCTGTCAAGCTCCAACACACACACAGACACGCACGCACGCACAAAAAAGGGGTTGTGGGTATGTCTATACAGCCTAAAACTTGGTCTGCCTCAACGGGCGACGAGTCTCCCGGCTGTAGATGAGAAATTTAGCCAGTGCAGTACAATCGCTAGCCTGCGGTCTTTAGCAACCACACGCAGGTACGATGCTCATCCAGATCGACACGGGCAGGGCCGGGGATCGAATCAGCTCCAGCACAAACTCAACTCACTTGCTGCGTTTGCACTCAGAATCACTCGTTGGTCCATCCCCGTTTAGTGGACCGGCGAATCCTCGACGCGTTTTTCCCACTGGCCGAAAGGCCACAAGCAATCGGCTCACTTTTTCACATGTGGCAATTGCTTACACTCCCGCGTGAGGAGCCAGTGACAAATGCACCCCGTGCGCGTACGCAATGATTGGTTCTCACTTTTCCCCCCTACTTCCTTCCTACAACCCCTATACACATACACACATACTCACACACGCACACACACACAGACACACACACACAGACAGACAGACCCGCGTGCGACCCCGCAACGGTCAGGCGGGTTCGGGCAAGCGAACTATATTTAGAACTTCCAAGGCGAGCCAGAGAGCCGACCCCAGTGTGGTGGATAGGGTCCTGAGCCGTCTCGTTATTCATTCTGCCAGACGCGGTAGTCTCAGGTTGCCGTTCTACCGTTCTAACAGGCGAGCGTGAAAGACTACACCGATGTGAACGGTGCCAGCCAGAACCATCGCGTTCTCCCGGCCCCAAAAGCACGCTCCGATTCTTCTGGGCAAAAACAACAAAAACAAAAACGCGCGTTCCGAACCTTGCGTCGTAAGGCTCACCTGACGTCAGGTCATGTGACCTCAAATTTAGCGGGGAAATTGAAGCCGACCATTCGCTAAGCGTCTTTCGATGTAAAGTCAGCGTTCGTTAAAACGTCCTTTCACCAACTGAATGCCACCCCCCCGTAATTCAGGCAAGCGACGAATAAGCTCGCAAACCCGACCAATCTCCGAGGTTCCTCCCCTCCCCCTTACAAGGACGAACCTCCATAAGTCATTCCCGCGGTCTCCGTGCAAAAACACGTGTGCAAACATCACATGTACAACATATGTACGGAAAAAACAAAACAAAAAAAACACTGGCCGCACATGTGCAAACACCACTGGGTAGAAAAATGGCCATGATTGAAAACAAATTTTTTTTTGTACTTAAACCAGATTAATTTGATTAAATAAATGTCACTAGAAAGTAGTATTTTTCGTATTTTTAAAAATGGCAGATTGATTGATCGATTTGTCTGACCACTGATAACAATGAAAGAAATAATTACTGTAAATTTAAAGTACAGATTCAAAAACAGCTCGACTTTTTAAAAGCTTTTTTTTTTTTTTTTTCTTTCGCGCGCTGACTTGATTGCGAGAGGAGATTTGCTCAGAA